GAAGTTGTAAACACCTCTTAACTATATGGAGATAGTATCTCGGTTTCCCTCCTCGTGTGCCCTAAACTGTTACGTGGGTGTTGTGACTATCATTAATTAGATCATCATATGATTGCAACATGATATTTTTCTTAATCCATGTATCTTATAACTTAAACACAATTCATATACATGAATTATCTATAATACGGCGGGACGGAAGCTGTTACATTTTTTTTTTGTAAATCGATTATATAATATAATAGTATTGAACATAAAATATCACATTCTCATTTTATATCGTAATAATCATTTTAAATTAAAGTACAGTATTGTTAAATCGACTTTCTACTATTTAATTTGCATATTGTGTATGTTATATTTGTTAACGCTAGAACGACACCGATCGATATGTTGCCGCCTGCTTGTAGTTTAGCATTCACCTGAACAAACGGTTTACATATTCATCAATGCTTGGATCAACATTTGTCGCATGGCAAAGAAATTTAAATGACCTTGCCTTGTGGCAAGTTGAACGCGGCATGGCGGCTTCTTGTCCGTCGTGAAAATGTGACGTTTCGTACGTGTATCGAGATATATCGCGATTTATATGTCTGAACTCGCTTTCAAAACCGGTTTTACGTTCCATCTTGTTCGATCGTGGATTATTCAATCGATAACTGTTTCTAAATTTATATATACACCTATTGAACTTTCAGCAATACTTTAAATATAATTTATCAAAGATTCAACATGGCAAAAAAAAATGACATTAATTTATTGAAAATATGTAACACTATTAAATATTTCAGAATATAGATTTAACATAATTACTACATAAGAATATTGGAACACATATTTACTATTTCTCTATAATATAAAAATATATCTACATTATATACTACCGTATTACATCTTAAAACGTTAATGTTTCTTTAATATAATTAATTTGGTGAATATAAGAACTATATGCCTCAAGGGAAATTACGAAAATAGTTAAATACAATAAATAATAGTCGTTAGCATCCATATTTTAATGAGATTATTCATCTCGCAAAAATAGAGCATGCTTTGCCAGCTAAGAAACGGCAGCAGCGAAACAATGAGCTGATGCGCTCTCCGTGACTGTAGATAGTGGAGACGTGGAGATATAGAACGAGAGAGACAAATAGAAGGAGACGGTGAAACCCACTAAATCAATACTCTGCCATCGCTCCAACTCTGGCTCATCCCCTCACCTACCCCCTTAGCCTACCCCCGAGTCGTCAGCCCGCTTCTCTCTCTCCCGGCGTCCTCCTTCACCAGCGTTTCTCGGTTCCGTTCGTTCCACGCCACCCTTCGTTCCACCCCCGTCACGCTCTCGAAGCGAAACTTCTCTGGCTCCGCTTCCATGGGTTACTCCCGCAGAGAGTTTCCTCTACCATAGGGCTGAATTCTCCCTTATGTGTCAGTATAATCTACCCGATACTCACGAGATGTCGGTGACGCGTGAAAAACGTATATTCGTATATACATTGCACGTACGCATTCTCTCATTTACAGTTATTCTCTCATTTTGTTTATTATTTTCTTGCGATTATGTTACTTTTTTTTTGTAAGAAAAAAACAACAAACATTGGATGTTCATTTCGGTAATCTTTAAAATTTTATGTTTGTTTTGTACCTATTTGTATTTTTTATGTTGAGCGAAAATGAAATAGAACATCTTGTTTATATATACAATTACTACTCTACAACAATTAACTGGATATATTAATGTTCAAAAGCCTATATAATTGGTCTATAAGTTCATACATTCGGTTTTATATTTTGTAATTTTAAAATGCAATTCTCGTAAAATATTTTAGAAACGACTGTCGACGAGCTTCACTCTGCACGGATAACGGAAAAGCGATATCGCCACGTTGGCACGTAGACTGCAGATTCCAAAAAGATACTTGCATGGAATTTTAATTTAAGACTACTTGAAAACGATGAAAACTCTAACAATTTTAAACTCTTTCATGTTTCGTTGACGATAAAATATTTTCTATTAATTGCAATTTTATTGCAGATAATATCGAAATCATAAAGATTAATAATCATTCACGAAATAGAGCGCAATGTTTTTTATTTATACAATGATATTTTCTTCATATTTTCAGCAAAATATATATTGAGCAATTTTTTACGTACAGCTTTTTGGAATCTATAAGTCTACAGCTATTTATTTTTTTTTTTTAATGTTTAGTCATGCCAAAATTTGATGCGAAATACGAATTCCGTCTTATTTTGCGCTAGAATACGACAGAAAAAAAATATCGATCAATTATCGAATATGAGATGGCAATCACACTTCATTTCTTCAATTATCACGAATTTCTATTTACTTCACGCGGATATTACGCACATCATCACAAACTAGGTCATATAATTCAAGTAACATAGTCTTATGCGACCATTCTGAACCATTTGCAAACGAATGCTGGGTAATATCTACGATCGTGAGATCGTACAGCTAGCTACGTGGCCTATAAAAGAAGTAGAAGGAGGAAGAGATTACTGATTGTGAGAAGGGGCCTGCATATGGGCGTTTGCGTGTATGCGACTGCCCAAGACGAGGGTACAGTAGTAGCCCCAATGCGTCTGCAATCGAAAGCTAACTGGACAAATAAACGGTTGGCTGCTTCTTACTGCTGACGATGTCGTCTCCGCTATTGATGGCAACTAACTTCATCATATCACTGACTTGTAACGTTGGAAATATGTATACAGCAAACTTCGTCCATATAAATTTTTCCAAAATATTATTCTTGTCATTAGTAAAATTAATTTGTGAAAAATCATTCTTCGAAGATACAGTAATGTTTAATTATATAAATTATGTCGGTCTCTTTTAAATCGGATTTGTCGCATATATAACATAAACGGATGTTCAATAAGTAGCTCAAGATTTCGATTAATAACCAAGAAAATCCTGCTTTACTTGCTGCTTTTAAAAAGAATATCAACAAAAAGTCCAATTACACGGCCGGCAACTCCTGCTTTGTTTCACGGCCGCTGCCCGTTAGTTTATGCCTTCCCTCTCTTTATCTACTTCGCTGTCGTTCTTTAAATTTCTCTCGTTGTTTTTCTTTTCTTTCCTACCGACGTGCGAACTTTTGCTGCCTTGGTAGCTGCCTAGTTTGTGATTTCTCGATGTTACCTTCCAACGTTCTCAGCACTCTCTACAACTTAGTGTCTCGTTAATTTCTTGCGATCCGTAAGACGATTACCGCACTCGTCCGAAAATTTAGCGTTTTCGATGTCCCTTAAATCTCTCGCAGTAAGTTAAACTTGCAGCTCAGCGTTCCGAAAATACGTACATACATCATAGACTCGCGTTCATTTCTTATATATAGTTTTTACTTGGGAATATAATTTTGAAAAATTTTGACATACAATCATTCATCATATAATTAATTTTAATTGTAAAGATATTCCTTTTTAAGCAGTAATCTATTTGATTCTACGATTACACGAATTGTGATGTAATATAAGATTTAATTTATCAAGTAATACCCTTATAAATAACGTGTAATAATAAATAGTATTTTGACGGAGCAAAAACCGCATTTAATATTTATAACGTAACATTATTTGTATGCGCATTTTGTGTTCCGTATGTTTCACCGCAACGTGCAATAGCTGTTCAGACTGTGTAACGTCATCAATTACCATGTTTCATAATAAGTCCTAATTGAATAATTAAATTTGTCAAATTTCAATCGGATTTGTTATTCTTATTGACAAACTACTACTATCACATTTCGTGATCCGTATAAAAATAGACATTTCAGAGTATCAATTTGAAAGTTTTGAAAGATAAAAAAAATTTTTGTGGCAGGTTTATTATTTTCAATAATAAAAAAAATAAATATTGATATACAGATAACATAAACATAATCCAACTAGTGTATGTTTCGCTGTCATGTGTTTACAACGCATCATTCTTCCGAAAAAATATTTGAGCGTTCTATCCGAGATCCGATTCGATGCTGGTAGTCGTCTGATAGGATTACGACTATCGTTGAAAGATTGACGGTCGAATCCGTCAGCCGTTTTCTACAGCATGGACGGATTTTCTGCAATTTTCTCCACGGCCTTCGGCACTGTAGGCCGTGCACGTTCCGAGGTTCGAAAGCTCAAGGTTGAATGAGTGGCACGTGGATGCGCACGAGCATGGTGGTATCGTTAGCGTCAGCGATGCTATTTTCAGCGTTTCTGGGGATTAAAATTAGTTGAACGAAGAAATAGATTTGTGATAGATATAGTTCTTTGAGTTGGCTCTCTCTCAACCGAATACATGCACAATAAATTAAATGATTAAACGTAATTCCATACCTTGATGAAAACAACTATCGTATATCATCCTATAATACGAAGATAGAAGACGAAATATATATTATGTCCCAATTTTAATACGCATTGGATGTCATCGTCACTACCATTAATCTTAAGTCTACTGTTACAAAAACTAATTTAGGACATGACTTATCACTTTATCACTTGTTCCAAACGTAATAATGCAAAATTTAAGACTTTTAAATTCATTCAGCACTCATCTTCAATATTATATCAAAATCGTCTAGTTGGAATAACGTAATGAGACCGTCGATGGAGGAATCGCAGTCTACCCGGTCTACCGTCCTTGTTGACGCAGAGAGAAGCTGCGTAACTGTATATACGGTATATACGGTATATACGGTAGATAGCCTCGAGAGTGTCCCGCGGTGCCCCTCGAGTCTACCCGTGTCCCGAAGACGGACGCAGGAGAGAAGGGACTTGGCGGTGCTGTACACAACCACCACCGACGCTAGATCACGGGGGCGTCAAGAGAAGGCGAGAGCAGGCGGTAGGCCAAGGGGAATACGGGTGTATCGGGGGAGTGAAGCTTAACGCATGTGCACAGGGCGCTTCGCGTCGCGGCGCTCCGGTCCCGCTCTGGTCGGAGGCTGCGAAACCGAGCGGGCGGAATTCGCGGATCAGAGTCGTCGCATCTCTCGCTTAAGATATACATCACCGCGGCACCATCCGCGGTTTTCCATGGGTATCGGCGAGCCGAGAACCGTCCCGACGCTGGCCGACACGCACCAAGCCGCGGTTAGGACTGTCAATCGTGGACGAGATGCTGCGCTCGGAGTACGCTCGGTGACGAATGATAACGTCCGAAATTGCGATCTTTCGTGCGACGCGACACACGTGCGGTACACCTTCAAGTGCGACAACGAGTCCGGAGGATCATCTGCCGTGACGAGACAACCGTACTCCGATTTGGCACGACGATCGAATACCAGTTAACAGAAACCTGAAGGATCGATGTTTATTTTCTTGGTACTGTCTTTAAGAAGGCTTCCAGGATTATTCTGCTTTAACGCTGCTTTAAGCTGAAGCGACATATTAACGAGATCAACGAATGACTAGAGGAAAGTGTGATATCGTAAGAAGCTCCTCGCACATATAAACATTCTCATTTATTGGCGATCCATACTGCTTCATCATTGATTTCCGCGCTATATTTTAAACACTAAAACGACGAAAAAATTAGTTTGGAAATCGAAGCTCGACTTCGTGGTAGTTCCAAGACTACATTTAGAAATGTTCCAAGACTACATTTTACATTGTAGATCTTAGACATTGTGACTCTTACAAGTCGATGTTAAATTGCAGCTTATTAAATATAGTGCACTGTTCATCGACTTTGCGCGAGAATTCTCCTCGTTATGTCGTGAAGAAATCTATCCAGTAAGTCAAGCTTTTATCAGCAATTTCATCCGAGTGAAAGAGTAAAATAGATGAAGATAATTTCGAATGATCTAATCCGCCTTATGTTGCGCTAAGTCGGTTGCTCGCTTATTTTTTATCGTTATTCATCAGCAAACAGCTCTGTCAGCTAATAAACTATTGCGATTTGGCAATATCTTCTTAAGACAATCCGAATACGTAAGAACTTGAAGCAGTATCATTTGGAGCAAGTCAGAGTATCAAGTAAACGTTCCAAATATTTCGTGTGACTCCTCGAGTTCGTAGGATTGTGTGCAAAGGTATCGCGAAGGCAAAGTGAGGAAAGGGTGATGGTGAATGGACTCACATGGTTACTCTATCCAATAGACAGTGAATCTGCTCGAAGGACACATGGTTCGTCGACGGTGTTGGATTTTTCTGATCCCACGCAGTTTCCGATTGTACCTGGCTCGGTGACTGTTGGCGAATCTGTTCGCTCTTCGTGGACAAAGACTTCCAAGAAGGTGGTGTGTGAAGGGAAGTACCAGCCACGACGGGGCCCAGCGCCGGGGCGGAGACAAGGCCCCCGGTGCAGGGAAGAAGCGAGGCAGGGGAAGAAGTCGAGTTTAGCGTAGCAGCAACGGCCCTGAAACTACAGGGGAGAACAACTACCCCCTTGAACAGGGGGGAAACTAGAAGGCGACCTCGCCGACGGAGGCGACGGAAAAAGAAGCGACGGAGGTGAGCGGATAGTTAAATGACTTTAACTATATCTTGAATCGTTATTAAATATTAACGATAATATCGCAGGAAACAATTTTATTGAAATATCAATCGTAGTATGAATTAAATTTTAATGGAATTTTGAAAATAAAGAATGTAATTTTTAATCGTGTTCTATTAAAGGAAATTTATGATATTAACCTTTTAAACATAACAGTTCGGTATAACTTAATAATTTAAAAAATCAAGAATGCTTGAATACAAACCGTCTAGCCTATTACCACCAAGAACCATTAATTTTCTGTAAAATGTATGTGTCAAAGCAAATAATAGAATTATGATAAATTATAAAACATGTAAGAAATGATGGTAACATTTTAATTAATATCGAATTATATAAAATGCTTCGAGTGTCACATTACAAAACCCGTAATAGTCGATCAATGATTCTGCCACAATTCGTTATTCATTTCCGCGTATTCATCAAAATTGACTATTGATGAAATCCGTGGATGACCAACAAAGTAATATCTATTCCAATTTTTTTGAGAAATTTTGGCTTCCTTTTCATTATCTAATCATATCTAATCATTTTATACTAAATTAAGTAGAAGAAAAAATATTATAATATATACTTTTAGTGCATAATTGTTATGTATCAATAAGTACATAACTGACTCTGATTTTGAAAAAAAAAAAAGATTAAAGAAACAAATAGAAAAACCTCTCAATTATATAGAAATATCCAATATTATGAAATATACAATAATTCATATTAATTTCATTTAGTTCCCATTAATAAAGGAATCTTGTTACACAGTACAACAATCAATTTTTATAAATGTATATATTACGTTAAGTAAAATAAACTGAAGCAGTTTGTAAACAAAATCGGTTAATCGAAGATTAGATTTTTAATAAGATTAATGATGTAAAATTACATTTTCTGCGAAAGCCCTGATCAAGTCACATATGAAGCATGGAACATATCTGTACCGTTTGTTTGAAACGTTTGGTAATTCGCTAACCGCTCAAGGCGGCTTGTGCGGTCAATGCAAAAAACGCAGATTCCAATATTAACTGCAGTTTATCGAGTTTCTTATAGCGGCCTGACTGCCGGTCCTTTAAGCATTTAGTCCTGGCATTCTACAATGTGCCTCAATTTCGTTTTTCTCCTGGTACATCAACAAATTTATCGACGTGTCGATTAGATAGACGTATAGAATGTCAGAAATTAAAAAAAAACGTCTAGAATATTTTTTTATCTTTTAATTGGCCTAAACAAGGACAGTTTCTATGATAATTTTTTTTTAATATTATTACGTCGATATACTACAATTTATTATGTATACTTTTTAAATGCTCAAAAATATACACCGATTTAAACTTGCCAGTTATTCTATACATTTACATACATTATTTCTCTTGAAATAATTTAGTTTTTATATATGACGAAATATAACGGAATTCATTGATAAATAATATATTATAATTCGAAAATTATACTGATTTTCAGAATTTATTTAAGACGTACGTATAAAATACTTATTTATTTCATTTAAAATTAAAATTTAATGTTAAATTAAAAGATTATTAAGCCTCGTAAGATGTCGAAATAGCTAAAAGAATTTATTAATATTGTAAATACAATTATTACGGTGAAATATAAATCTAAAATATTAGTAACAAATGTTTCCTTAAATATCAGTGTAAATTTGAAACTTGCTATCTAATTATCTTCCAAATATGAAGATCCAATCATATATATTAATTTATATTACTTACGTACTTTCAAATAATATAAATATTAATTATATGCAAATTTGATTTCTGTAAAATTAGAAGAAAATCGTACAGAACAAATAAAAGTCAAGATCAGTTAGTGGAATGTAAAATTAAATTAATTAATTATATATTTAAAATATTAAAAATACAATCAATTTATTATTTACAATCGAACATATATCGGCCTAGGAAAAAATAACGTCAGCAATAACTAATATACGACATTAATGTGTTTTTTTCTGTATCTTCAACTGCCGACATTGCGATATTTCTCTCACTGTGTTATTTTTTCTGCTGAAACATCGGCGTCAAAAAAGGGCTTGGGGTTCCACGCCGATAGAATTCTTATCCCTAAAAGCAACGACGCTGGTTGGCCGTGGTTCCCCTCGCTCGTATTACGTCCCTTCCGTTCACGAATGAAGGGAGGAGGAAGAGGCAGCCAGTACAGGGGCAGGCAGGGGGATCGTCGAGGCAGGAAATGAAGGGAGTAGTCTGGGGTGATAGGAAAATTTGATGGAGGGTGGCAGAGTGACAGGAGGAAGGGAGGAAGAGAGAGAGAAGGGGACGGGGGAGAGGAGAGGAGGGCTATCAATGACGCGTTAGAACACGTCACGCTGCGCAATGCATCTGCCGCCATATGCCGTCATATATATTATCCTGGCGATACGTCAATTCGGCCGCTGATCATTATACTGATTACCGCAGCACGCAAACTACTCCGCATGTGTGGCCGTTCTCATGAGTCTGTTATTAATAAGCACAGTTTAACTTTCGATATCGGAACATCGATGAGCAGTCGGGTGAGACGAATCACTTGTATTCAAATAACTTCCGTACTATGTGTTGATTTCATCAATCAGTCGCTTAAGACTATAAATAAGTTTCTATATCTTCTTGAAAATAAATTATCTAGTCGAACAGTTAAGATAACTATTATTGAGAAAACAAAAAGTATAATACCTGAAAGAAATGTGAAAAACGAAATATATACGGGAAGATCTATAGAAGGACATCGAAAAAAAGAAATAAATTGCAAAAGGAAAAAGAAAAGACAAGAAATGCGGAAAAAGTTCAGACGAATACCTAGCCTAAGTCATAAATTTTGATATTATGTACGATGCTTTGGTTAGCTAAGAAAAATGGAAAGAGAGAAGAGACATAGCTCGCAACGTTGACGCAACCAACAATGTCCTCATGAGATTTTAACTTTCTTTTTTCGGTCTACAATGACGCAAAAGTTTCCCCGATTTCTTTTGGACAAGTAGGAATATAAAGGACGAAGTTAATGCGAAAGAACAAGATCCCATGTATCCTTTGACCTTGCTCCTTTTCCCATTTCACTTCCATGCTATTGCAGCACTAAAATCGATGAGAATATAATTCACAAATCTCATAAATTTGCTCGTTATTAATTATTAATAACGAAACAATTAGTAATTAATGTTGAATTAATACTCTATTTATGTAGCTAGACAGAAATTATTGAAAAAATTTACATTAATTATATAAAATTTGGATTACGTACTGATAATATTATTATCTACATATAAATTAATATAAAATAATATTTTATTTGAATTAACCCTTACAATACAAAGTACAATTTAGTGCCACTCCGTCCAAACGTTACTAGAATCCGTCCATTTTTTTTATCTATTCAGAATGATTTTTAAAAAATCACTAAAAATTTACCAACTACTTTCAATTTTCTAGAATAAATATTAAAACTTCATTTTAGAAAATAATAAAATATAGTATAACTTATAATTATTAAAAGACTCAAAGAAAAACTTGCATGAACAGGAATCGCTCGGTTACTAGTGACTCAATCTTGTACGGTAAGATTTAAAGATAGAATTTATATTTATTTTATGTTGTTTAAATGTTTTACAAAAGAATATTAGTTGTTTTTTAAGGAATTATTCTATGTAAAAAATGTTATTATGATTCTTAGATTAATTAAGTCATAAAAGTGTATATATATTTTTCATTGTTCTTTTACAATTTATATTATTGAATATTTATTAAATAAGAAAATGAAATATTTGAGAAAATAAAAGTTGAAGTGAACGAATTTTTAGTCATCAAGAAATATTTTTAACTTTTTGAAGGAAATATTTAATTCTACGTTCAAAAATCACCCGGTTATAGCGGGTTTGCGGGTTCAAAGTACATTTTTATTTTGAGATAGAGAGCGAAGCGTATAACACACAGCCGACATCCCTTGTTATTTCTCCTATTTTCCGTTGCGATAAATCACGAATGCCGACGGACGGACTAAGGAAGTAGGGCCAACAAAGAGAGGGGGATCTCGTTTGGTTTTGCCGGACGCAAAACCAAAACCATAGCGGCGGAGGTTGTCAACATTCCTGGCAATTTATAGAAAGAACATTTTTAATTCAAAAAAATCATTATTTATTTGTGCAACAAATTTGATTTCCAAATATAAATTTGAATGAAAAAAACTCAATCAAATCGCTAGTTCCATCGGTCTATTATTATAAACATTCATATTAAATTGCGATTTATGAAATAATTTTCTAGCAAAAATTTAGAGCAAGTTGCAAGCAAGTGTGCGCGATAGTTGTGTGATCGATTTCGTCGCAACTCGGTCGCTGTTCTCCGTAGTGCAATTAGTGCACCATACATCACGCGGATAACAAGACACGGCGCCCCGAAGGCGTCGCGTGGAACGCGCGGAAAAAAAGAGAAGACAGTAGGAACAAAAGAGGGGGTCGAGATGGTAGCGACGTGCCGCTCATCGTCTCGAACGACGTTCTTCAAGAACAACTCCTAACTTTTTCTTGGTAGAAGAGGAGAGGAGGCGGAGGATAAAATCTCCCCCTCATATCCTTGCTTCAGTCGCTTCATCTCCTTTCTCGATTTCTCTACTTTACTAGTTTCTTCTCGGATACGCCGTTGTTGCCAGAAAACCCGCACGCCATTCATCTTGCGACATCGGACGAAAATAACACGAATTTAAGAAGCTCACGCTCGTAAACAATAAAGGGGATGTGCGCTCCCGTTACATAATAGCACCGTCTGGAACGAAGGAACTGTCTATATTAGAAAGTGGTATCCCTCTATTCTAGGAAAACTCAATTAGTTCTCGAACTTATTTATTAGTCTTACATCCGTCGTTGTAGAACAATGGAAATATTGAACAATGGAACATATTTGTTATTAGTTACTGACATTCATATTCAATTTTATGTGGAATAATGTAAATGGAA